TGACTTTTTGAAGAGAAATCAGGAAAAAACTAACATTCTAAGAGAAACCTGCAGATCTCACTAAAACACCTTCTCCACTAGAGCTCAATCAGATTTAGTTAAAGCTTCAGTTGATTTTTAACTGAGTCTTAACTGAGCTCTGTTAAGCTTGTTAAAGAATTAGTTAAAGCTCAACTCTATGGGATGCCTTATAAGTATGTACTTAGTTCTAGCTTGCCCCTATTCTCAGCTTTACCCAGCTAGTTCTAACCTTTAAGCCCATAGGTTAGATGCAGGGGACTTTAGGCCACGTGCTCTTCACTTTCCACAGGTATCTTTTCTGCTGTGTCTAGGCAAACTTTGGTGAGGGCAGTGTGAGGAGGTGGTGGGAAAATCAAAATTGACAGAGTTTTCAACAAGCTCAGATATTTCCTTTCTCAACAATGACTTAATGAATGCTTTGAAAACTGTCTAAATTGTTTTGACCTAGTCAATCTCTTAGTCATTCAATTTTCGCACTCTTTAGATCAAGTGTTTTCAGTTGATGATGAAAATTGTTGTTGAATATTTACTTTTCAAAGAAAAGTATGTTTTCAATAATCAACCCCCCAAATCTTGTCTGAATAGTATGAAAATTGAAATATTGATAAATTTCAGTAAGGGCTTTCAAATGAGAGTATTCTTGAATCAAATTTTCAAAAATTGACTGAGTTTTGAAAAGACGATATGATGAATTGATTACATTTGATGAAGAAAGCTTTAAATAATATAATCAACTATTAAATACTAAGAAAAACCTGTTATTCTAAACTATAGAATTACTCTTATATACATTTTCTATATTTTAAAAGATGAAGTTTAAATATGGAAAAACAATAAAGAAATCTATTCAAAAAGTTCAAACTCTTAAAATAACAAATCATATACTTTTTGAAGTATTAAAATATTCTTCTTCTCGAAAAGTTATAAAATTGAGATTATTAAATATTGCAGAAGTTGAATAAAATGTACGTAAATTTTATCTCTAAAATAATGATAAATTTAAATCTTAATAATAAAATATAGAAGTTTTTATTAAGCAGCTTTTCTTTTATTTTAATATATAAATATTTAAAAATTTAAATATAAACAAATATTAGTCTAAATAAAAGAAAATAAGAATTAAAATTTGAAAAAGCCTCATTCTATTAAATATATAATAAATATAATATATAATATTATATTATTTGATAAAGCAAGAGTATATATATATAAAGTGTATTAATAATATTTACTCTTCATACTTAAAAAATACTCTATTTAAGTATAAAAAATTTAATAATAATTCTCATTATCTTTACCACTGTTGAATTATAAAATAAATAAATATTTTATTTGAAAGATTTAAGATGAGAATAGATCATCACAGCTTAAATAAAGTATGATAATAAATTGATACTTTTTAAAAGTATTATTATCTTTGATACTTGATAGTATAATATCAGTCATTAAAACTATTTTATCATCTAACATAGATTCAAATAACTCAGTGTTAAAATTTCAATAAAGCTTCTCTTGATTGTTCTCTTTTAATACTTATTTGATTAAAGTTTCTATTTATTAAGCTTTTTTAAAATTGTATTCATTAGACAATAAAGAATAACTAACTAACTATTCAAGTATTTTTTTATTATCTAATTATATATCAAATTGTTCAATTTCATGATCTGATTTTAAAACTTCATCTGAATTAATAAATCAGTTCCTGAAGCCTTTTTTTCCTTCTTTAATTTAAATATTAGATGATCTATTATAGATTTCCTTAGATCAGTCAATCTACTACTCTCTCCGCTCTTATAGACCTGGGAGAATTCATCATTTGATAGTAGAAATTATCTTTTTGTTTAATATCACTGAAAGAAGATATTGATTTTAATTTATTTTTAAGATAAACTTACACATACTTCTATTTAAAAGCTTTAATTAGAGTGAGATATTGTTTCTTTAATTTAGCTAGATTCTCTTATTTGAATACTTGTCTTTCTTTAGATATTAATTGTTTTTCTTCTTCGATTTTGAAACTTTGAATGAAGTTTTTTTAAGCAAAAATAGAAATAGCATACACTTGTATAAAAGCAGTTTTTTAGCAAAATTATTAGCTATTTCTGATTATTTTCAGTAGATACTTCCTCCTGGCTGAATTGATTAAATTGCGATTGAAGTAAAATATATTTTATTAAGTTAATCATATTTACTTTCAATTTGAAAATATTATGAACTGCTTTAAGAGAGAAATCTTCTGAGTATACAGAGGTTCCTTTCAAAAGTTTCTTCCTGCCACTAAAAATACACTAAGAACTACACTAAACTTAATGTATAGAAATAAACACTCATTTTATTCACAGCCCTCTTTATATTCATTGCCTCCTTCTAGCTCTATAATTTTTTAAATATGAATAGAAATTCACTCAATTCATGTCTGTATTGTCTTCTGAAACAGATTCTTTTAGCACTGCTCTCATATTTTAATGGCTTCTGCTTGACTCTTTGATGGTCTCTTACAGATAGTTTTTCACTTCATCCATGGTCAGCAGAGTTCAATTGAGTTAAGATCAGAGGAATTACCACATCAAAACATTTAACAGACATTGTATATATTGTAAATTCAGTATTGAATATAATGATCATGAGAAAGAGCTTTATTCTCTTGAATAAATAATTGTTTTTAAGTATTTTTTTCACACTCTTTAGCAAAAAAAGGAGCTTCAAAATGAGAATTTTATTTTGATATTAATTTCAATCTATATCACCATCATTATCATAAGAAAGCTTGCTTGTTTTCTGTTTTCATTTCCATGTAGATTTTATGCTGAGTAGTTGATGAAGATTAAGCCATCTCATCTCATTTTCTATTTCTCATTTCTCTATTATAACTAGCTCTAATTCTTATTTAAGGTGTTAATAATCTTTAAAAATTTAGTTTTTTCTAAAGCAGTCTTAGGAAACTAGCAATAACAAAGTCCTTTCTTATCATAAGAGAAACACTTTTAAAATATAAACTTAAAAGAGTTCTTTCACTGCTTTCAAATGTAGCTTCATATAAAGACCTTCTTTTTAATTCACTATATTTAATATCTGCCACATTGATGAAGAAGAATGATAAATATTTTATTAGATCAAATAAACAATTTCCAATCTTCAAGAGTTCATTCAATCTTTATGTTTAAGACAGAATTGAAGTTGTTGCTATCTTATTTTCTTAGTTAATTTCATGTTAACTTTAATTTTTGAAATCTAGCAGTTCTAAGAATTTTTCATATTATAATAGCAGAAATGTTGAATTCTTCTAGAATGAGTTAACTCATCTGTAATATCAGCAACAATTCTTTTCTCCTTTATTATAAATTGATCAGTTTGCATCTTGGTAATAACTTGTTGCTAAATCTCAGATGTATGTTTAGAAGATTGACCAGAGCAAAGAGTAGCTTTTAATCAATTATTTTGAATAGTTAAAGGTCAATAATTTGATTCAAAGCCTCTTTCTATGATACAAGCATATATTAAGTTAATTAATTGAACAGATAGGCCAGTTATCTCTGAGATCTCAATAGAGGTTTTTCTCTCAATAATAGATTTAAGTATAATCACAAGAGCATAAGTAGTAATATCAGTATTTCAAGCTATATTGAAAGAAGAATTGAATTTGAAAAGAAATTTAAAAATCTATATCAAATTGTATGATTATTCATATGTAAATAAGATTCTGATAAAATTAAGATTTCATAATATTATGTAATATCTTGGCAGAAAAAAACTTTTAAAAAAGATCTCTGTATTAATTATCATTTAATTAAAATTTTATCTATTTGATTTTTTAAAATAGATACTACAAGCTATATAGTATTAAAAATATAGTATTTTTTAACAAATCTTTTTAAAATTTTTTTTAATCTCTTATCTAGAAAGTTTTTAATGCTGATATTTCTCTATTTCAGAGAAAGAAAATAATTTTTTCATATTTCTAGTTTTTAAAATAGCATTTATTGTTTACTGATATGAAGAGCTAAATAAATTATTTATTTTAAATTTTTTTACTAGTAGAAAGAAATTTTTAACATAATTTAATAAGCTAAAAATGAATTTTTTAAGATAAACTGATAAAATCTTTACAATCACATCTTGAAATACAAAAGAAGTTAATAATTTCAATTTGAATAAGTAAGAAAAGATTTCAATACTAGTTTTGAACAGAAAAAATTATTAAAAACTGATTAATTTTATCTATAAAGAAATTTTTCTCAGACAACTATTGTGTCAATCAGACTGCAACTCAATTCTCAATCAGCTTTCCTGTGTATATGACAATTCAAACAAGATAATTGAGGCAGAAGACAAACTGTTAACGGCGCAGTCGCTGATAATATGGATTAAGGTTGATCCACTCTAACCTCAAATCATATTTGGTTGCTCAGATTGATCTGCTCTGATCCCCGACCACCTACTTCTATTCAGCTGCTCGTTCATTCCCACATTCTAATCCTCAGTTTAGTATTCTCGTCGCAGCTGCCTAGTTAGATGAATTGAAGCTTTGTCTTTATATCATCATGACTAGATTGAGCCATGACAGATATCGTTGAAAATAAATAATTTGAATTAAAATCCAGTTACTTGGGCTTCGGTGATTTTGATGATTCACTTGATAGTGAGTTACATTATCTGAAAATAAGCTTCACTAAGTAACACTTGTGGGGCCGAAGCTACGGACAAGTCAAAATCCAGCAAGCATGTGGTACAAAGCCTCTGGGTTCTTAGAGGATATCCCTATAGATATTGATAAGAAAACTATAGACTCCTCTCCAGAAGTTGCCGGTCCCAACAAGCTATTTTCTAGCTATCAAACAAGAGTAAAAAGAAAAAAAAGGAAAGTCAATGGAGCATTTAACAGTAGCGGGATGGGGAATAACAACATGCTTAGTAAACAAATCGAAGCATCCAAATCCTCCTGTATATATAGTCAGGGATTGTTTATGATACCCCATATGTTACACCAGGACCCATTCACTCCCTCGTTTAACGAATTTATCAATCATCAAGGCAATATCGTTGAGCGCGAATCGACAAACGTAAAACCCAAAAAACTCAGAGGCATGCCTTGTGCTAAGTTCAAGCCCAACAAGGGTCTGGGATGAGTGTTTCAGACCTGGGTCTTCGACTTGCCGGGCAATTTGATCTGACTCGATCCGCTAGCTTCAGCTCTGCTCACTGAGGATAAAAAAATGGAAAAGAAAATAGATATGGAGAGGTTATCAGGTGAACAGTGGAGGGACTACTTACCAAGGACTTGGGCAGCATCGAACAATCTCGCCAGAGCACCCATATAGCTCGCGTTAGGACCCGTACACTGCAGCTGTGTGACATTTCTTTTCGGAGTACGAAAGCCATGACTGTCGGTCATCGGCAGCGAATTCATTGTAAGTGTATCCTTACTGCCGTACTTCGATACAACAGAAACAGACGTAGGCCCACCTGTACCAGAGCTCTTCGATCGCAGCTTCCGCCAGGATGTCAAGTACGATTTGCTTGAGCCGCCGGAGGGTTTTGAAGCAGCATTGTCATGAAATGTGGGCATATCTTCTCCTATGGTTGACTTGAAAAGAGACATGGATCCCTGGACTCCAACCTCGTTTCCTAGCTTTTTTGACCAAATATTCTGAACTTGATCTAAAATAGTTTCCAACGATTGCATTTCCTCAAGTACGGCATCGGCGTCATAGGTGTCCGCTTTGGCGAGCTTCAAAAGTGCGGCTGTCAAAAGGTCGCAGCTCGATATTTTCTCTTCCACACCCTTTAACTTAACATTCTGAACTCGCCACACATCCCTTGGTATAAAGAGTTTTGTTGTAAGATATCCACCACGGGGATGAGCAATGGTCTGATAGAGACACCGCATTAGCCAGAATGGGCGAAGAAGAAAGGACTGCGGACATGGCTCCAAGGGTAAAGGAGCATATGGAACAGATAGGTTAGGAGACCCTGGAGTTGTAGGTGAGTGAATATTGCTATCGAAAAGGTTGAGTCCTCCAGCATGAATGCTATTGGCAGCAAGTGAGTTGGTAGGGGTATGTGCAGGAGGCAAAGAAGGAGTAGTCACTTTTCTTTGATCCAAATTCGCAAAAGTCGCACTATATGATGCCCCCGGTGCCTGAGTAGGGATATCAGGTGTTGAAACGGACATGCCTCTAGCTTTCATTGCCTTGAGGCTCGAGGATGATATGTTCTTTCTAAGATTCTCTGGGGCTGATGCAACCTTTGCTACCATACGTGACGGGGAGGGCAGAAAACTGTTGTCATGTGTCTCTCGTGGTTGTAGTTTAGTGGAGTGTATAATGGAATCGGTAAGGGGAGCTTCCACAGGATCAGAGCCCCTGGATGTATCTTTTGTGGGGCTACCTGCTGTGTCTATTTTGATTTCGGAGGCCGAATCTTGCGAAATGGGGACACAAGTCTTAGGCACGCTTTCCAGCACCGGTGAGACCATCGGGGCCGTCTGTGGCCCATTCGTATCAGGTAATATGTGGGAAATTGTCTCAATGGACAATTCCGCAGGATTCTGACCATTCAGTCGCCTTCCCCTCACGCCTGTCGATCCCGTCAATGTGGTCTGAGCAGAAATCGGTCCTAATGCCACAGACGGCAAAGATGCTGCGAATGTCGGTGCCAATACTGGCGGTTGCGGTAATGCAGAGACAGGAGGTGGATGTGGGGGTGAGGATGTTGATTTCATCCTCGCATCCAATGGCTGGAATTCGACCCCCTCTGCGAGAGTGGAGAGCGAAGTACCAGCTGTCGTTAAATTCGAAGCAACGGAACTCCCCCATGTTCTGCCAGAAAAACCACTTGAGTCGGACTGGCGTGGGAGGGCCGACTTCGACTGAAGGTCAAATTCGAAGTCGGCCATCATTTCTTCCAGGATACGTTCTTCCTCCTCAGCTTCAACGTCATCATCATAGCCTGGATGAATTGCATCAACATTTGCCCACCCAGGTTCCTCCAATATTCTCCGTTTTTCTCTATTCTTCGCTGACACGGCTTCAGATTCCAACTGTACCTCCCGAACCTTTTGTTTTGCTAACTCAACGTTCCGCCTCACATTGGATACGATATCATCCGTATACATGGTATCTGCATCATTAGCTGGTTCAAAACCTTCATCATATGCAGCCTCCACAGCAGCATCCAGGGCAGCATCAAATTCTGCTTCAGTACCTCCGCTGGTATTCCGAGCAAGTTTTGGTCTAATATAGAGTAACGACGATCTTGACCGAATTGAGGAGTTTGACGAAGCTCCAGACTCGTCAATAGTGTCAAGCCAGGAGGTTGATCCATTGCTCGCATCACGGGAATGCTGATTTACCAAAGGGGGAAGCGGGTTCGATACTTGAGTTGAGGGTCGATTGGTGAAATCGACCCGCTGAGGATATGCGCTCGGCGAGGAAGGCATTTCCCCCAATGTGGAGGGATCCGAACGAGAATTTTTCAGTGTCTCGGTTGAACTTTGGGGTTTTATTCGAAAATCTTTCTTCAGCGACTTGGACTGTGAATGTTCACGAAAAGGAGCGGGATTTAATTGGGGATTAGCTAATCTAACATCTTCATCGAAGGTTGAGGGGAGGAGGGATTGTCGTCTGGGAGGGATTTGGGAGGGCGCCAGGCTGCGCTGCTCTCTGGAGTTGCTAGCATAAGGAGGATTACTGGTAATAAGTTTTGCAGTTGTGGTTGTGAGAACATGGGTATCCTGACGCTCAGCCCCGGCATCAGGAAAAAGCGTGAAAATCCCATCCGACGGTGACTCCTCGTTTGGAGGAGGATCGGGTAAAGCCTTTCCATCATCGACCTGTTGAGAGGAGAGGCCAAGGCGTCGAAGTTCATTTATCCGACTAGAGTAAGTATTACGCTGGACGTATCGATGTCAGAAATTTGACGCTGCGGATTTTGTGAGGGATCAAAGAGCTTTAAGCTCCCACGGGGCCTGAAGGGGTCACGTCACATACAATCTCCTCCAATTTCTGTTTCTCGTCATTACCACCACTTCGATGCATCACTTGTTGTAGGAGCTGGCACGCGTCGTTGTAGGCATCTATGGCACCCTCGTAGTTTGTAGCATTGTCAAGAAGAACGGCAGCATTCGCTTTCTGTAGCGCCTTGGACAGCATTGTCTTCTGGGATGGTCCTCGATCTGTCCGGTCTTGTCCTTTCTCTGTATTCATTGAGGACAAGAGCAACAGATCACGCCGAGCAAGAAGTGTTGACGCAGAGTCGAGCCTAGCAGCATTAGCCAGCAAAACGGCTTCAGCCTCGTCCGAGAGGCATGAAGACAGTACCTAGGTGTTCTCCTCCACTAGTGCCCAGTGCTGTAGCCTTGTCCCTCCTCTTCACTTGCTGTGGGGTGTCTATTGCGATCGAGGCAGTTCTACTACGGTAAATATACTCACTTCCAGGGAAGGGAGAGGAGCGGGAAATTCTTATCGGTATTGAGGGAAATATTTTTGCCAGGCAAGCTGGAAGAGTGGCAGGTCAGTCGGTAGGGGGATTTGAATACGGGAATGGTGCGTAACGGCTTATTTGGCAGGGTAAGAATTTGTTGTTGAGCAAGTTATCATCGTCAACTCTGTCTTGTTTAGAGTAAATAAGATCAAGCAGCGTTCATTCACAAGGGCCAGAGGTAAACTCAATCATAAGAATTTAATAGGCGATGTCCGGAATGATAGAGGTAACCGGAATCGATGAAATGAACGAGCACTCATTAGCCAGAGAGTGGGGGGGGGGATTTCCAAGGCTAAATAACAATAGTTACTCGTTCAGTCCCAAACATTTTCCAGCAAGTCGCCGTTTGACGTAAAAGGAGCGAGCCCCTGACAAAGTTACAACCAAGAACCCAACCAGAAACACTGGGGAAGAAGTCGAACTCCTCCTACACCTGAAGTAGTAAATCTATCCACACCCATCAACCCATTTAAAATGCTCACAAAATCAATAGACCAGGCTATTGTAGCCTTATAAAAGAGGAATGAAAGGGGATTAAAAAAAAAAAAAAACCTCATCTATTAGAGCTGCTGCTAAGACATGCGACGTCTCTTAACCTTGTGCAAAATCAAATCACGGGAGTCAAAATGTACCCAAATGTTCAATTATCTAATAGAAAAGTTATCTTCTGCAGAAGAAAAATCTAGATCTAGTTCAATAAATACTCTTCGTGAATAAGAGAGGTCAGCTCTCCCGGCGCCGCCCCCCCCCCCCCCCCCCCACCCCCCCGAGTCAAAAACGTATGAAATATGATGATAGAATTTACTGCTCTCTACTCAGATCAGCTGAAGGATCCCTCTCTGGTTTGGACCCGGCCGTAAAGTTTTGGTACGACTATCTTACGGCCCTCCTACGGGACAATTTGATTTTGCTCCTTAATCCCCTCTGACCCTGCCCTTTGGCGGCATATGACCCGCACGCATCTCTATATTGCAATTTATGTAGATGATTAAGTAACCCGAAACGGGTAACTAAAGATAATCTAAAAAGATGTGAGGCTGATGTGAATGTCGACGAAGATAATTCGGAGGCTGATCTTCATTTATTGGCAGAGGATCCAACGGACGCTGATTAGCTAGTTGAGGTTTTTGGCAACAAAGCTGGAGATCAAAGACAAAGGTTGAAAGAACCGTCAAAATATCCGGGTATGGAAGTTAGTCGCGAAGAGCGAGGCATCAAGTTGAAACTCCGACATTAAATCGAACGACTAGTGGAGGATTTCTACCTGGAAGACGCTGTCACTGACTGTCAGTACGCCAATGGAGGAGAATCTTCGAATCGACAATACTCCTGTCCCCTGAGAAGCAGGGGGGTTTACGAAGCATCATTTTCAGCACGGCGTGGGCTGTTTGCTGCAGTTCGCTGTCAAATTGCGGCCGGATATCGCCCTTGCGGCCTCCCTACTGGCCCAAGAAGAACGCAGTCCCTATCCCCCAAACTTGGAAGGCCCTGCTGCACGGCATACGTTACTTGAAAGGAACAAGCGAACTAGGATTATTCTATGCGAAGAACGGTGAGCACGAGTTCCCGAACGCCACCTACCGGCCGCTTGGATACATGGATTCTGACGGCAGGCCCGTTTAATGGCGAGAGGAAATCTGTGTTCTGGATACGTATTCAAGGCTCGCGGGTGCCCCCCACCTCAATGGCGATCTGCAAAGCATCCTTGCGTATCGTTAAGTTCAAATGAAGCCAAACATGTGGCTTGTAGTGAGGCCGTACGTGAAGTGAGGTGGTTGCTCAATATGATGAGAGATCTTAATTTTATATCGGAGGGTCCTATCCCCCATTAAGGCGAACAATAAGGGCTCTTACATATCCTCACTACAGTGACCACACGATTACGGCCCGCAGCAAGCATATCGACACCCGTTTTCATTTTCGCGTACGCAGCTAGATGAGGGGGTTATTTCGCCGGATTATGTTCCCACGGTGGATATGGCGGTAGTTAGTCTTACAAAACCCCTAGGCACAAGTGTCCTTGAAACGTCTCTGCAAATTTACTGGGACTGGACGGCTGAAGCAGGGGGGTGAATAATAAGATTTTGGTACGGAGCGTGTTTTGGACGGATTCTGGGATATTATGGATAGCTGGCTGCGAGATTCCGCACGGCACCGTCTGCTTTGCACGGCCTATAGAGACTAGCTAGCTTTGCCCCTCCGATTGTTAGGGATGTCAGGTGACCCCCTGGTATTGTTCTCGTCCTTTGTCCAACAGAACAGCTGGGCGATTGGGTCTTTTTGCCAACGCAGTCTCACAGCAAACAAACCATTGTATATACGGAGTATTATATAGAGAGATTTCCCTGATTTTCTCCAGTTGCAATAAGTTTGGAAGCAGTGAGCTTGGCACGTCACGTGTCCGACTGAAGGGTTGCCATGAATGCCAAGGCCCGGGGGACTCCAGTAAATATCCCACGGATAATAAATTATCCGAGACCAGTAGCTGAGTAATCCACTGTATATCTTGCTCGCTGGAATTTCTTGTTGCATCCAACATACAGAGAGACCTACGTCAAACGTCTAGACAACCACCAAGTCTCACGCTCGCCACCGTCAAGCTATCCTTTTGCTTTTTTAGGATAACGGAGTTCTGTAGGTGTTTTTACTGCTCCCTCCTGGAGATTTATTTTTATATCCTTTTTATGTACTAACTGACCTGGAAACTCTTGCTAGATCCTAATATTCTTGGCCTTGAAATTTATTATCTTCTGGCTCAACTCCGTACGGACGGCGGCGGCACTTTGGGATGTGGGCATGCAGAACCACGAACCTACCATAACATGGTCATCTGCGTTCATTTATTATTTGAATATTCTCGACGTATAGGGCCATGGATCTGAATCGTTTTGCCGCAACTCGGGAACGGAGGTCTACCCTTCTCCCTGATATTATGAACGACCCTGCCTTTGCCACGAATGCCCCCGGAAAGAGAAAAAGTTTGGACGAACCTGACACTTGTCGAATATGTCGCGGCGAGGGCACCGAGGAGGAGCAGCTCTTTTATCCCTGCAAATGTAGTGGGAGTATCAAGTTCGTTCACCAAGACTGCCTGATGCAATGGCTATCCCATTCGCAGAAGAAATACTGCGAGCTCTGCAAGACTCAGTTTAGATTTACAAAGCTTTACGACCCGAATATGCCTCAGGATTTACCCGCCCCGGTCTTTCTTAAGGAACTAGCTCTCCAGGGTGCTCGGTCAATTGTTACGTGGTTACGATTTGTGCTGGTTGCTTTCGTATGGCTGGGATGGCTCCCGTGGTCCATGAGAGCTATCTGGCGTGGTCTCTTTTGGTTAGCTGACGGGCGTTGGCCTCACTCGGAAATCTATCAAGCCTCACAAGTACCCCCGGCGAGCGAGGACCTCGATCGACTTGCCTCCCAAGGAACTTCTCCGGCCCAAACCTTTGCATCAAACAATCTCACCCCTTCCGGAGTGGCACATAATATGACAACAACACTCCCACAGTTCGTCTCACCGTTTTCCTCCATGCTCAACTTCTCAGCCGGTGAGCCACTGTTATACAGTATTCTAAAAAAACTCCTATTCGGCACCTGGGCAACACTGGTTACTTCATCTGAGGTCGAGACTGCAGGTTCAAACTCGACTAACGCAACTTCTTCATCGATGCGACGGCTTCGCCAGCCATCCTGGCTATCAGATGTTTCCTTTCTAAACCGGCTGACTCCTTATTCCACACTCAACAATATTTTAATAGATACCTTTGAGGGACAAATAATTACTTTGTCGGTGGTTATTGCTTTTATTCTTGTGTTTTTAATTAGAGAGTGGGTCGTGCAGCAACAACCTGCGATTAATATTGCAGAGGCAGATCGAGAAGCTGCAGCGCAGCTGATGGCGGATGGTGGCGTAATTCGACATGCCGAACAACCAGGACAACCTGCTCGGGAGGCCCCGCATCAGCAAAATGTCCCTGAAGATGCGTCTGCCCATGTTCCAGGGTTTAATGAGCATCAGCCGAATGAGACAACTCCGCCTTTGGACCAACCGCGGCAGCCTGATGCTACTGATGAGAGCTCCGGATCACCTGGTCCACAGCAACCTTCTCAGATTGAAGACGGTTCTATCGGTCCCGTCGATGAAATAGCAGGTATGGTTTGGGAGCCGGGAGTCGAGTGCGGTGTCGAGGAAACAGTGGCACCACTTGATAGCAGCAGCAATGTCCCGTGGCCTGGATTAGATGTGTTTAAAGATTTATGGGCTCGTGGCATGCGAAACCCGACTGAAATTTTAAGGATAATTGAGCAAGAGGGGCGTCAGGAAGAACTGGGTTGGGTTATCGCGGCCATGCAAAGGTTAGAGCGTGTGGGCGAATCATCCCGATCTAGCGACCAAACTCGGCACAAGTTACAGGAAAATGGGGAAGAGGCTCTCTTAGATCCATCCGCTTTACTCCATGTCCCAGTGGATCCTAGTAACCCGCAACCTTCGTCATCCGAGATTGCTCAACTTTCTGGAGACAAACAAGATGAAAATCAAGATGAGCCCAGAGGAGGATTTACTATGAGATTTGGAGATCGAACTACGAATTCTGGTGTGTCTGCAGAATCATTTTCACCCACCTTGCCAAAAATGGAATCGTTCAACTCACCAGCATTCTTCGGTTCAGAATCCGCAGGCCCATCTAGATCCATGCGTGCGTTTGACCTACCACCTTCGATC